AAAAAAAAAAAAAAAAAAAAAGAGTAGGCAGAGGCAGGAAAGTGGGATGACAAATGTGTCAGGACAACAGATGGGCAAGATGGTAGCTGGGGAAGGCCGCAAGGAGATTCTGGAACTTTTCAATAAATGGCATGGAACACTGAGTAGTCACCGGAAAAACTAAGTTGGATCCCTACCTCTTACTCCCACACATCTTATACCAAGAGAAGGTACAAATGTATCAACTATTTATTTATTTATTTATTTATTTATTTATTTATTTATTTGGCAGAACTGGGGATTGAATTCAGGCCTTTGCGCTTGCCAGGGAAGCGCTTTTTCCACTGAGCTATCTCCCTGGCCCCTGTATCAACTATTTAAAGTTAAAATAAAAACCCATAAAACACAAGAAGTTGTGTAAATATATAAATAAAAATAGTCTTGGAGTGAAGAAAAGCTAAGCACAACACTAAACCCATACAAGTGTTTATGGAAACAGATTATGGACAAAAGATTAACAAACTTGATTATATAAATAAACTTTTTGCATAGTAAAACCATCATCAGAAAAAATCCCAGATAATACTCTGAGAAAAATAATTACAACTTCCACTAGTCAGAAGGCTAATTTCCCTAAAATAGTTCATACAAATTAATAAGCAAAAGCTTAACAACCTGAAAGAAGAATTGGCCCTGATATGAAAATAAAATTTACAGGAAAGTTTTGGTGGTGGTTGTTGATGCTTTGAGGCGGGGCCTTTCTGTGTAGCCCAGGCTGCCCTGGAACTCTGGACACCCCCCTCCCGCCCCCACATTCCCTGTGCTAGGGTTACAGGTGTGTACAACTGTAAAATTGCCTCTCAAACATACATAAAACGCTCAAGATTAAAACAACCCTGAAGGGCCGGGGAGATGGCTCAGTGGGATAAGTGCTTCCCTGGCAAGCGCAAGGGTCCGAGTTCAACCCCTGATTCCAACAAAAAATAAATAAATAAATAAACCAACCCTGAAACACATTCTTTATGATTAAAACATGGTAACACGCTAGGGAGGGAGGTAGCTCAGTGACAGCACGTGCAAGGCCCTGGGTTCCACCCCAGCGCTGTAAAACAAAGCACAACACCAACCACGCAAACACTGACACCTCATGAGGGGAAACGTGTCCTTATACATCCCTGGTAGAAAGTTAAAGGAGCGCAGCCTCTAGAGAGGGCAACTTGGGCAATCTACCTAAGGAAAGGCACACACTCGTGGCCCAGAAATACCACTTCTAAAACAATGGCAGTATCTGTGCGCTGTTATTTGTTATAGAGTTATCTGACTAGTAAGAGGTTGGGGAAAAGACATGCTCATTAATAAGGGACTTATTAAGAAAATTATAACATGGAAACATGGAATTCTATGTAGCCACAGACAAAAAAATAACGCTGTACGGATATGGATGTATCTCTATGATTAAGAGAAAATAACAAGTTGCAGAACGAAGTGCTAACAAGATAAGTGAAGCTGTATTTCCCTGTGTCTGTATAAAACAATCCCCCAAAAAACGGGGGACACTGGCTCTGGGGAGGGGGAGTCAGTGGGTCACTTAGGAGGGATGTTTTCACTGTATCTTTTTGACCCTTTTAAACTTGGAACTACAAGGGTGTTACTTTTCCTAAAAATAACTTAAATTGGGCTAACATATGGTAAAACTCACAAACACAGCAGACGGTAAGAGGGCAGGATCACCACTTAGGTGCTCAAGTCTTAGATTTTAGAAGCTGTCTAGAGATGCTGGCTAACTTGAGCTTTCAGGTCAGTTAAGTACACAGTCAAGAATTTGAGGAACCACTACAATACTATGAACAGAGGAACTTCTGAATTGCCGTGGCAGGGTGGGACAACTTAGGAGAGGGTCACAGACAAGGAGGAGGCTGCAGAGATAGAACTATACGCCTCGTGCAGCCCAGCACTGGAAAGCTGGTGGTGGGAAAACTGCCTGTTCTGGAGTGCCTGTCTAGGCCAGTGCCTCCTGCCCACCAGCCTTCGGTTATGTGAGACATCACTGGAAGGGGAAGCTGGGGGAGGGATCTATGGAGTGCCAAGTTTCCAGAAACGTCTATAACTGATCTTGTTTTCAAAATAGTTTTTCTTTTTTAAGACATTAAAATCTAGCCTTCTGACTTCTCTTGAAAAGCAGCCAAACCTGGTCTCAGGGTGCCCAACCACATGGTCCGGAGACTCACTGCTGACCTGAGCGGTATGCCCACTCCAGGGCTACTTCATTCACACCACACTGCAAGAATGGGAGCTTTGGTCCCCAACCACTCATCCCTGGGTGTTAAATGTGGGAAGCACCAGGCCCAGAGTTCCCGAAATGGAGATACCAGGCCCAGGCGGCTGCCTCTGGGGC